TGCCACCAGTGAAACTAGAATCACTTGTATGCAAGGGTGAGAGAGTGGCCTCTGTGTGGTGTTTGTGTCCTACCTTGTGCTGTGACTGCAATCATCGACCTGTTTTTGCAAGCTGTAGCATTTACAACATCCCACCCCACGTTTTCAGTTCTGAATTTAAGATTATAACATGAGCATGGGAAAAACAGTCCATATAATCCAAATGTACAATGTGTATAATCATTGATAATATGTCCTTGGTATGGTGGGAGGTGGGTAATACACAGTGATGTGATATGAGCGAGCTTAAACTTTTTTTGTGAAACTATCCCCTCATTTTCTGCCTTACTGCAGAACATATGGTTTTCAGGCTTTGCTTACACTTTGTATTACAAGGTGAATTTCATGCTTAGATTTTTAAATTGAAATAGTTGAATTTTGTTTTGGAAACCACCATTTTGGGGTTGTGATGTAAGACAGCAGGGGTCTGCAAAGTGCAACGACTGGTGGTTCATTGCTCTTGAAACACAAAGATTACAGATTGCCCGCACAGAAGTATTGGTAACTGCTTGGAATAAAAGTGAGATGAGAGAGCACAGCTTTACAGGATTGCAGTATTTCTCATTACCACCTTGTCTGATTATTTCTACAGTTTTGTTAAACTTCTGGCTCAGAGAGACTGTTTTCTAAGTTTCAAGTGCTATTAAATGTCTGAGCACTTGAAATAACCTTTTTTTTTTTTGAGACTGTGCCTGAAATATTCCACAGACATCCATTTGTGGAGTTTTGGAATAGTGCTCCTAATTATTATAAATCTCTTAGGAATAACTGTTGGATTGATAAAATTATTTTTGCCTGGCATATTATCATTATTTCAGTGGGAACATGGAAGCCTATTGGAGCACCTTGCAAATAGTGATAACTTCCACTGTTAAACATAACCCTGACCCAGGCAAGAATCGTTTTGAAGGCTTAAAAGTACTGGATGCTGATTTGAACATCTGTATAAAAAAAGGCATTCTCAAATGCGAGAGCTAAAGTTTCATCACAGACAAATCACAATGTGTGGCAACAGGGAGACCTTCATATCCATGTGAACTCTTACAAGGAATGTTACTTTTGCTTGAGTATGATCAAATGTTTCTGTTTTAGACTGACAACAACAGGATAATACTGTGGTCTGCAATTTGTGTATAGAATTTATTTCTCTTGGGTGCAGAAACATCCGTTACTTTTCCCTCTTAGAGTTCTTTACTCCAGAATACCTAAATTCCTAATGGGCATGAAATTGATCCATTTTATTTAAACAGTCTTTGTGGATTTGTTTGTGTGTTCTCCTATAGGAAATTCATTATTTGACCTGTACTTCAATAATAACAGTAACACAGTAGCCAATTCCTTTTACTTTAAAAGAATGTCACTGTTTTTCTTCTGTTTTCTTTTCTTAATGTGGCTAAATAAAATGCAAAGTAATGACAGTAATTTAGCTCTTGATAAATTGCCCATTGTGGATTTTTTTTCTTCCAGTAAAGCAAGCCCTAGTTTATATGTTTGCATACAATGAGGCTAGGCAAAAAAAATGTCTCATTTGTACCTTGTTTTCCCTTGTAACAGACTGGCTAACATATGCTAAAGGGCTTGTAAGTGATGTGTAAGTGCTGGTTTAGATTCTAGATATTATCCAGAATTGTAAAATTAATAGGAATTTTCATCATTATTTGGTTGTCAAAGATTTGTTAGGCTCTTAGTGAAATCAGTGTTGATTAACAGTTATGTATTTATCTGTGAATAAATATAATTTTTTTAATATCGGTTGCTGAGTGGGAGAAAGCTACAGTCATGGTGCAGAAAATTCCTCTTTCCCCATTGCATATGGCTTCTGCACAGTACTCTGGAGCTGCCACTGCCAGATGTGGACATGCTTCTTTTGAAAATAACATTATCACTATTATACACAAGACTCTGGATTATTTGCTTCCCCACCAGCAGAACATTGTGTGTGGGCGGATTATTGGCATTTCAGGGTCTGTGCAGAGTCTGGGAAGCTGGATCCTACTGTAAACAGAGCAACAGATGAGAGTGGGAGCAGGGAGGGGCATACATCTCACTGATTATTTTAAGAAGACAAGTTCCAAGAAGTTCTGAACTCAGTTGTGGGACAGAAAATTTAAACAGACCTTCGAGTTTTCAGGGTAAATGTGTGCATTTTTTAAATGCAAAAAACCTCAAAATCTGAGCTAGTGCATGACCTAAGTACCTTTCTGTTGCACTTTATGCACTGGTGTCAGTGCTGGTAGCAGTCTGATGAGCTTTTCACAGCAGGATTTTCATGTAGATCACTGAAAAATGCAGAAGTCCAGCATCTCCATTACCTTTGGCACTTTTATTATGTCAGTAATGATTTTTGTTATGCCTCTGCTTGGCCTTGCAAATACTTTACAGTTTTAAGGTGGAAAACATGAGTGAGTGTGTGTAAGATGACCTGTAGATAAAAATCTGTTCATTTACATGCTGTGGTTCATTTACAGGTCCTTCAGCAGCTTTTAAATCACTTCCGAAAAAATAAGGATAAAGTTCTTCTTTTCTCCTTTTCCACGAAGGTGAGATCCATGTGATTTTTATCGGTTAACTGCAACCCTAAGTTCTGAAGCTTGAAGCACTCCAGTGGCACCTGCCAACCACATTTCCTTACTGTCTGTACTGTGAGAAACAGTTATGAGGACAGTGTGCTGTACTGCGAAAGTCCATTGAAACCGTATGTTGTCTCATGATAAAAATGGTGATGGCAAAGCAAATAAAGCATTCATCTGCCTTTCTGAGAGCTTTTAAAAATTGTTGTATTACTTCAGGTGTAGATCGCTGATTTCAACTGGCATGTCTCGAGTTTGAACAGGATTACAGCACAGTATGACTGCAATATCATAAAACCTATGTGTTAGCACTGAAAACAGTTACATTTCCTCTGTTCTGCTGACTTTTGACCATCAGCAGCAATGAAGCTTCAACCCTGAGACTTACCACACCAGTTATTTTTAACTTAGAACTATGTTTAATTGGAGAAAGAGGTATATGTACATTTCACTTTTAAGGGACTTCCTCCTCGAATTTCTTCTTGGGGAGAAATGTGTTTTCTGAAATTGTGCACTCTGTAATATGGTTTTCTTTACTTAAATGTTTGTAATGATAGCACCAAAGAGTATTTAAAAAAAAGGTAGCATGAATGATAATGCAGAGTCTTAAATATTTAACTTTTTTTTGGCTTTAAGAAAGAATGCAAATTTAATATTTAGATGCAGTAGTAAAATACTTATGTATCTTAAGTTGCGATTTATGGTGTTCAGTACTAGACTGACTGCTAGTTGCTTCTTTCACTCCATTACCCTGCCCCAACTCTGACTGTGCATACCAGCATGTTTCTCTCTGCTGGCTCCAGTGCTCATTTACTGTATTTCAAGAAATTGCAACTTGCTAAGATAGTAGGAAGCTGTTCCAGTTGTCTGCAGGCTTATTGGGTTGAGCTAATTGAGTGACACACTAGAGGTGAAAAAGGCAGCTGGGGTTGGAGGGTGGAGTGAGACCACAGCAGACCAATATTAATCACCTTGACTGCTGTAAAATCACAGCTGAAGAGAATCAAGAATCTTGGTAGCAAAATACTGAATATTTGCCCTCATTTGCCATGTTTGGTATATGACAATACATTTGATAAACATGTCCTCTGTGATTGTTTAATTAAAAAACTAGTACTAAGTGCCTAATCTTTTATTTTTTTCCCATTTTCCCCTCAGCTGTTAGATGTGCTGGAACAGTACTGCATGGCATCTGGGCTTGATTACCGGAGACTTGATGGAAATACAAAATCAGAAGATAGGATCAGAATTGTGAGGGAGTTCAACGGCATTCAAGCAATTAACATATGTCTTGTATCTACAATGTAAGGAAATTTAACTTGTAGCTTGTTTCAATCTGCCTTTCTAGTGATTAGTAAATGGGTTACTCTGCATTTTTCTTGATGACCTTGTGACATTGCTTGTCTGAGAAAGTGAGTAGTTCTCTTGTCTGCTAGTGAGTATAGATTTACTGCTGTGGGCTGAAGCTTCTCAAAATATATGGAGACTTCCTCCTCCCCTTCTCCTCTGCTTTATGAGGATTTCTAAGGTCTGAAAGAAGTGGGTCTTCTGAATCCTAGTTTTAAATTTCCCATTCTTGTAGTATTGAGGAAGCAGTTTTAAATACTGTTATTAAAACATTATTATTATGTCATTATCCGCAATAAACTTTTCATTTATTGTAGACAGACTCAATTTTTTTGTTATTAGTAGGGCTAGCAAGTGAGTGTGTACATGAAATGCGACATTGAACTGCAAAATTATCTGCCACTATTACTGTAATTTATTAACTATGTTCATTAGTATGTGTCTCGTTAAAACACTTCAACAAATCCTTGGTTGTCTTTAAAAATTTATTTACCTGCCAGATTTGCCTATGAATTTATGATGGATAGTGAATTCTTTTGAAATAGACTAGTATGTTCAACCAAAGTTACTGTTCTTACAATGTCTGTTTATTGATTTTATTCTAGTTACTTCCATGCTTCATCTTGGATGAAGTTTTTTACCAGGCAAAGGTAGAAAGGGAACAAAGAGAAGCTTTGATTGTCCTGCCCAGAGGGGAAGACACAGTGAAACTTCAAACATGCTGGACTATACTGTCACTTTACTGAAAGTGTGTGTGTTGGAGTTAGATAGGAGGATCCACACTGCCTCTATTTAATTAGAAGTCAGATGTAATTTTAAAGACTATTGCAAGTGCATGTCAGAGTGTCTTCAGATGCTCTGGTGCATCTGTATAGAGTTGTGAAGAGATGGTGATAGTCATGTACATTGGAGCACAAGTCCTATGAGGCCTGGCTGAGGGAGCTGGGCTTGTTTAGCCTGGAGAAGAGGAGGCTCAGGGGAGACCTTATCACCCTCTACAACTACCTGAAAGGAGGTTGAACCCAGGTAGGGGTTGGCCTCTTCTAGGCAGCTAGTGACAGGATGAGTGGACATAGCCTCAGGCTGTGCCAGGAGAGGTTTAGGTTGGACATTAGGAGGAATTTCTTCACAGGAGGGGTGATGAGACATTGGAACAGGGCTGCCCAGGGAGGTGGTGGAATCACTGTCCCTGTAGGTATTTAAGGAGATACGGGACATGGCACTTAGTACCATGTTCTAGTTGACATGGTGATGCTAGGTCATGGATTGGACTCAATGGTCTCAGAGGTCTTTTGCAGCCTAATTGATTCTGTTGTTCTGTGATATCTGTCAACTGTGGAATCTGGGTATTAGCTTCCTTTAGACCTTCATGAGTCCCCTACTCCTTGTTTCTAAAGATAGAGCGGAATTACTGCATCTATAGCATTAGGAAAGACTCTAATTTTTGCTTGTGTCAGTCTCGTTTAGTTCTGTAATCATAACCTTTTCAGTATTCTTCCATTAATTTATATAGAAATAAAGGAATGCCAGTTAAACAGAGAGGGACTTTCTCCTCTCTGTTATGAGAGCTTGTGAATGGAGGGTAACCTTCTCTGTTGGTTTTGGTGTTACTCATCTTACTATGCAAATGAAAGGAACAAACCGTGATGGAATTGCAGTGAATATAACCAGTGTGTACTAAGCAAGACAGAAAGTGCAATTCTTTGTCTATTTTATCACAGATACCAGGAAGTGATCTCTTTGCTTGCTTGATACGCAATAATGGAAGCAGCTGTACATTTGTAATCCACTGGAAACCAGAAAATGATTTATCCTAGTTCTACTCTACAAGAGGCTAATCTTTCCTTTTGCTCAGATTTCAAGCATATATACCATAATAATATACTTCGTAATGTATTCTGTATTTTTCAACACATAGTATGTTAACAAAATTTGGTCATGCTCTTTTGTCTGTACTTCCTTGCAAAGTTCTTGGCTGACTGTGCTGTGTAGTCAACCTGTGTATGTTCTGAAAGTCCCACTGCTCAGAGAGCTGAATGCTGATTTTCACTGTAAATACATGCAGAGTCTTTTGAAAGCAGAAGTGCATTCTGCAAAGGATGAATTCCCTGCATAGTAATCTTGAGTCTGCTATTTTGTTCACTGGCACAATTAACGTGCAACTTTTGGGACAGAATTACAGTGCAGACAGTGGTGATGACTTAATTGCTAAATTTGTGATGCTTTTATTTTATATACCTTCATTTCTTCGCCAGCAAAATGCTGTTTCTTCCTGAAATCACCTATGTATAGCACAGTCATTTGGAAATCCCTGTGTATTTGGTTGGTGAGGTTTTTTTTTGAGCAATGGGACCTTAAATAATAAATTATTTTTTTAAAAAAGAAAGAGAAGATAAAAATCTGTCTGTATCTATATAGCTTGACCTCAAGTCTTGCAGTTAATATTGGTACCAAGCATAGTCATATGGCTGTCTCTAATGCTTTTATTGGTAGCTGTGACTAATATGGATATATGGACAAATAATATGTATGACATATAATATATATGGATAAATCTATTTTATGGGTGTTGAGAGAAATGATGATTGAATTCTTCAGAGCTCTTAAATTGCATTAAAATATTAGGTATAGAACATGAATTTCAGCCTTGAACACTATGGAAGATTAGGTGTACATCTGTTTAACATCTAAGTATTGTGAAGTAATACCTCTTTGAGAATACTTCAGTCCTGTGCTGGTGTTGCTGGGAAAATGTGTGATTATTTGGAAGAAGAGGGGGATTTTTGGGGCATGCTTAAACATTGAAATAGTTGCTGGAGTTGCTGAAACTCAATATGAGAATGTCAGAGCTTGCAATTCCAATGATGCTGCTTAGCTGGAAGAAGGGAAACTGTACGTGCAGTACTGAAGTCAACACAGTTTTGTTCCATCATAGTGTTCTGCAAGAAATAAGAGCAGTGAATATTCCTGCCTTTAGATCACTGTTTCTGGATTTTCTCTGCTAGTCTTTCTCTAGATTAATTGCTTCACAATAACTGTTAATGAAAATCCACTTCTGCATCTCAGTTTTCCTTGTTTTGTAAATAGAAATGCTCAGAGAAACCTGTAGGTAGTTTTTATTGGGAAAGGTTGCATAAGCACTGCTGTTCTACCTGAAGCATTCTCAAATATTGTCCATTGTTGGACTGCTGTTCATTACTTCATACTTTAACAGGGCTTCATTTAACTGGAATTCTTCACAGCTATGTCACAAGCAACTTTTAATGTGCATATGATAACGTTCAAATAACTTTCAGCAACAAGGCCTCACTGAAACAGAACTTGGAAGCTATAAATAACTTTTCTTGATAAACAGAGTTACATAGTCGAAGCTTTCATAGAAACTTTCCTAATGCAGTGTTGTTCTGTAACTTGTAAGTGTGGAAGTATTCAGTTGTCACTGACTGGATGTAAACCCAAGCTATTTGTTTAACACAGTGTGCAGTTTTGAATAAGATGTGCTTTTGAAAACGGTTGTTTGTAAAAAAATTCTTCATTTGAGCCATATTATAGTGATTTGCATGGAGGAAATTGCAGTAATGACTAATCGCCAGTTAAAATGATAGCTGAAATGGAGAGATGCTCTTCACAATGCACCAACTACATTTGTTCTGTCCATGAAGGAGCAGTTCTTTTTCTATTTTGGGCCATCTGAATTTTTGTACCATACCTAGAAGTACTGAAAGGTAAAGCTAAGTATTCTGTTTTGTTAATTTTTATAGTCAGTCTGTTTTACTTGCACTAAGGCTTTGCACTGAGGTTTTATTAATGTTTCAGTTCCAAATATTGTAATTTTTTATGAGAAAGTATTTGGAAAAACATGTTGACTTACATTTCAGTCCAACTGCAGGGTTGGTTTGGGAGGACAAGAGGCTGAATTCTGTTCTCACTCTAAAGAAATACACTAAAATTCCAAAACACAGTAAGGTATTCTGAAAAAAATACAAAGATTTTTATTCAGCATTTCAAACTTTGAGAACACACATCCTCCGGAAACCTCCGTTAATATTGGCAGGTTCCCATATCCTCTCCCTTTCCAGATTTAACTAACCCAAAGCCATACCACACCTGGAAGGAAAAGGCCACAACTGCATTTGCATTGACATGGATTCCATGAAAACCCAAAAGTGGTGGGGCTCCATAAGCTTTTTGGTTTCTGTCTCCATTCACTCTTCTACCTGGAAACTTTACTTTTCCTGTCTGCTTTAAACAAACAGAATCTAAAGTAATCCACTAAACCAGGTGCTTGGTAAGTTACATGAGACGGAGTTTTTGTCAATTTTGCAGTACATGTTTCAGGAAAATAACAAGCTTGAAATTAGTGATGCCTAAGTCAATGTTTTAATAGTTAAATTAATAATAGTATTTAGCATGTGCTTGTGTAGGGACTTGTCTCTTGTGGGCTTGTTGGTTGAGCCAATAGAAAAGCATTTTCAGTATTTGCTTATTTTGCAGCTGGATGAGAAGTGGTATTTTCCTCACTTTTGTACCTATCAAATCATTGAGCTATGTACATGCCAAACTCCAAGTAAGTGAGCAGTTTTGTTGGATTCAGCAGGGCATTAGTTAGCTGCCTCAGGTTAGGCATACACTCAAATTCTTTGCTAGCTTGCAGGTTTTACCTGAAAGCACACTACAGCTGTTTAATGTTTTAAGATGATGTAACTGGTACCCCTGTGACTCCTTAGCCCCCAGAGCAGAAAATTTTCTGACAGTGACTTTTTCCTTGTAATGACTGGTATGAATGTTGCTCATGTGCAGCTGTGTGGCCAGCTGTGTCTTTAACAGCTGAGTGACTTACTGTACAAATACACTTGTGACAGTTGTTAATTCTTACAGGTATGACTTGCCCTAGATTGTAACCATTTTAGTGGAAGCTGTAGAGCATTATTGTCAAAACTGTGTACTGGGCTTAGAGGAAGTAATATTGAAGCTATAATTTTCCTGCTTCCATGGTGTTAACTGGCATGAAAGTGGTTTTGAATTTCAGTATAATCACTGGGGGAGTTGGCCTGTGTAGGACTTAATGGGAATGAAGTAGCCACTAGGACTTTTACTAAGTTGATAGCAGCTAGTTATTTGGTTTGTAACAGTCTTGACACTTAGGTGAGAAGCCTGAGTTTTATAGCAGTGGTTATTTAAGTACTTGGCGGTACACAAAGCTGTACTGCACTGTTTTCAGTGCCTTTATTGGGTTGGGGATTTTATGTTGGAGAAGGTTATGCCAATATTGACCTAATACAGAAGAACTTTTCTCAATGTTGTCCTGGTTTCAGCCAGGACAGGGTTAACTTTTGCAGCAGCCAGGAAGGGCACACTAGGATCCTGGGTTATTCTCTACCACCTCACTTCGTGTGGAGGGGATGGAGGGAGTGGGGGTACCCCTTCTTCCAGCACCAGTTTGGTCCACAGGGAGTCCTTCACCTGTCTTGTACACTCTATTATTTATGCAGTTGTTACTGTTAATTTTCTTATTTCATTGCCGTTTCTTAGTAAATGGTTCTTATCTCAACTGAGGATCTTTACCTTTTGTGCCTCCAATTCCCTCTGTCCCACCGAAGTCAAAGGGTGTGGGGGAGTGAGCAAGCAGTGTGTGGTCTGTCAGGTTTCAGTGGCAACACTGAATTGGGGAATACCACTCCTTAACCAGGGCAAGTGTTGTTCTTTCTGTCAAATGGTTCTGTTTTTTCATTTTGTGTTTTTAGGGCTGGTGGACTGGGTCTTAATTTTGTTGGTGCCAATGTTGTTATACTGTTTGATCCTACATGGAATCCAGCAAATGATCTTCAAGCAATTGACAGGTACACTCTCAAAATACAGAACTTGATCCATGGTGTGCTCTTCTTTTGCTTTCACTCTGTAATCTGATTGTCCAGCTAAAACTTTACTCAAGGGATAAATTTTTTACATACTCTGAATTGTCCACAAGACAATAAGAAGTGGCCAGCTAAATTATTTTTTCCCCTAAGTTTTACTTCTTATTTTCCCTTTTTTTTTTTTTTTTTTTTTTTTTTGTGGCACTCTTATGGTGGCCCAGTAGAAAAATTCAGCAAAATTACTACCCTTGGTTACTATAACCTTCTGTGGTCTCTCGCATGTGTGTGTGTGTAGCTGACATTTTTCCTGTGTTTTTCATGACAGTACATTGTAGTTGACCCTAGTTCGGGTGATGTTTTGAATTGCAGAGCCCCTAAAGAAAACCTTTAGGTTCTTTTCTGCTTTACTCTTGTGGAGATTAGTGTCTTTTCAGCACTCATGTCTTTCTCTGATATTATGCTGTTGGAGTATTTTCAATAATCTAGACATTTCTTTCAAGGCCTTTTGGCTGTAGGATGTTTCCCTAGGAATTCAGGACAGATCTTCGACTAGCTGAAGTAAAAAATATTGAAAGTCTTCAAAATTTAGTAGGTTTATTTATTTTCATGAGCAGAAATAAGCCTGTTTCTGTTATCTCAGAATGTAGTTCCATTTTAAGGGTCTTTCTGACTTATAAGAGGTGTTTATGTGCACCTGTTACAGAGAAATGTGTGTCAGAAATGTCTGTTGGGGACTGTCTCTAAAGAATCTTTGTAAGATCATGTTTCTCTAAAATGGTTCCGTTTCTCATGAATTTTTTTTTAATATAATCTGTTAGAAGTCTCAGAATTTACCATTTGGATAGAACACTGCCAGTTAGTTAGCTGTTTTTATGATGTTGTGACTTGCAAAGTGCTTTATAAAGTTAAGAAAGAACAGACTGCCCCAAGTAATCCATGACCTAACTCCTGTATAATGCAAATACCTTAAGCATGAGCAGGTGGAGACAAAGAGGGGAGGGAAAAACCCAAAACAAACCTGAGATAAACAGAGTGTAAGATGTGTTTTCAGGAGAGATGGGAGACAGTGCTTGTAATACCTAACGAGGAGAAAGCTTTTTAAACTGGATAGGCCTGGGCAGAAACCTGGAATACTAAGGGTAAAGGAAGAGGAAATTAATTACTGAGGAAAATTTGGAATTGTAAGGAAAATAGCCCAACCAACACATTAATGATTTAGAGTAGTCCTGTTTTATTTGAATGCTTCCATTTATTTATTATTTTGTTTATTTATTTAGTACCCATTTCTTAAAACGACTTTTCATGTGCCACTGTCCTTGCAGAGCTTATAGAATTGGCCAGTACAGAGCTGTTAAAGTGTTTAGATTGATCTCCTTGGGAACTGTGGAAGAGATGATGTATTTGCGACAAGTTTATAAACAGGTAAAGTTCGCAAACTCTTTAAACTGGGAGCTCTTTTTAGCGGTTTCAGTGACAGAAAGCTAATCTACCCTGTAGCAACATTTTAGTTTCCCTTGGTTTTGCGATATATGCTGTTAACTTACTAAGCAAAGATGTAGTATTTAGCAATTGTCAAAGAAGGGAACAATTACATTTGTATTAAAGTTCTTTTCTGTAACCTCTGCTAGTTTAATTATGCAATGTACGTTATTCAGGTTATGCAGAGAACTGTTCTTATTTGAAGACATGTGAAATACATCTGTGATAGTATTTGCAGTGGTCTGATTCATGCAGCTTTTCTTATGAAAGTCTGGAGCAAGTAAGGCACAAATCTTTCTGATGCTGTAGAAGAAAATCAAGAGGCATTTTCCTGCCTGTGAAAACTTGCTTATAAAAAGAGGGGGAAATGGCTTCTAATAGCTGCTGTTACAAAGATAAGAAGTGATGTTCCTTGCTAGAATACTCAACCTGGATCACTTGACCTCTCTATATTTTTCAACTTGCTTTGGCAAGATGCACCTAAGACTGAGAAAAGTGTGTGGTTTGAGGAGCACATAATCTAGCAACTGTTTCCTGATGAGATCAGAATTAGATCAAAAAAATAAGCATACTCAAACATGACCATCAAAGAGCAGGCTGCAGAATAATAAGAAACTAGAAGAAATATGAACATGTTGCCATTAGAGTTCTATTTATTTTTGACAAAATGATCTAAATAAAGAAGAGAAAACTTATTAAGGAGAAATTAAAAGGTGATGGGCTGCAGTGCTTTCAGCAATTGCACAATTTTTAGAGGTTCTGTATCAGAAGCTCAGAATTATGACAATGTATTAGTAGTTGAAATCATGTCCTAGTAAGGCAAGTTAAATATAACACAAGGTAAATACAAAACCTATTCTTGAGGGACAATGGTCTGAAAACATAAAAACTAATAATGTAGTTTTTTAACACATCAGGAGCAGGAACTGCTCTGCGTTACTTTAGCAAGGTTTAAAAGACTGTTCATTGGAAAACCCCCAATACTGACTTGATTTGTTCTTTACATCCACATTCATGGAAAAGCTTAGAGAGGATTCTGTTCCAGAGTTTCTCTTGTGCAAAGTACTTTTGGGGATTCCTTTCAACAGCAAGTATCAGTAGGAGAGGTCCCAGAAAGGCTAACAAAATGAGCAACAGCAGATTGCAACCAACTGCATTCACTAAAATCCTGGAGGAGGGGAACCAGCTTCACAGAGGTCTTTGGAGCTGGTCATCTTGTAGAAAGAGATCTGGATATTATATGTTTGGATTTCCAAAAAGCATGTATAAAACTTCTTGAAAGGCTCTTCTGCCCTTTTTTTTTCCAAATTGACCTGTGTTTTCCAAGTTGGACAGGCAGCAGTAAACAGAGTAATTTTAAGTCTGAGATTTATTTTTTTGTTATTAGGCTAACTTGGTTTGCATTCCCTTACCAAGTAAGCATACAGTGCAAAGGACTGTAAAAAAAATAGTGGTAATTTAGTATTGAGGAAAGCTGAGCAGTCAAGATATAGAGGAGTGCCAGTAGTGTGTGTAGTAGGTGTCTGATACTGGACAACAATGCAGTAAAAGACTTTAAATATTTAAGTTTATTTTATTTTAATTCAGTAAGACTAAGTAGGTTGATGTTCCACCATAATCTATTATACCAACATCTGCCAGGGAAATTAAAACAAAATATCCTCTCTTAGGAATTTCTGCCTGCTCCAACTAAAGCTGTGTATATAATATGGATGCCAGGAAATTCTGACGTGTTGTTGGAGCAAACACTTCTGAAATCTCTTGTGTTGTTCTGTTTTAGCAACTTCACTGTGCGGTGGTTGGAAGTGAAAATGCCAAGCGGTATTTCGAGGCAGTGCAAGGATCAAAGGAACATCAAGGAGAGCTTTTTGGGATTCATAACCTTTTCAAACTTAGGACTCAGGGGTCCTGTCTTACCAAAGACATCCTGGAGGTGTGAAGTGCTACCCTTTTACTTTTGATTATTAGTTTAACAGTTTTCCTTTCCTCATGAGATTTTTTTTGGTCGTAATTTTGAATGGAAACACTCTATAAAACAGAATGGTGAAACTTAAACAGTACTTGTCTATGAAGTGACTTACATGAAATAGGCAGCCTTATTTCTTACTGCAGTGGAAACCAGATAAATTTCCTTACATCAAACAAAGAAATTGAAAAATCTTGGATTATAATTTTCATAAATTTGCTGAATTATTTCTTTTCCTAATAAAAATTGGGGGTTTTGGGGATGAGTTCACATATTGTCAGCTTTGTGCACAGATATGTTTCATTCATCAATAGCTCAGACTGACCTATTAAGCCAGAATTCTGGTAATAAAAATGTTTTTTATGATCACAGTAACCTTGTTATAGTACATTTTGAGATTTTATAATAAAATTTAATAAAATAAAGTTTAATAAAATGCATTTTATAGTGCTGTATTTTAAAATATTGCAGGCTGGAAGCAAATAACTGAAGTTTCATATTTTAAAATTCTTCTCTTAATTACTCTAAAAAGACTGTTGGCCCAATTCCATAGTATGTAGTGTAAACTGACTTTTAAGTAGATGCAGTATGACACGTTTTTGTATTCAGCATGTTTGCTGCAGCTGACTTGCATCTTGAAATTTACTGCATCTTTATTCCAGGATTCTTTCCACCCTTCCCTTTGTTTTGTTATTGTGCCTGTGCTTGGAATTTAGTGTAGATTTTGCTGATTGTACTTCTGGTGTACTCTTGGTTTTTTCTAGGCCTTTGTGTGTAATAAAAACTAATCCATTTATGTTAACATTTTTGATTGTTTTAGAGGGAAGGTCGAGTAGAAGCAGGAGTCATGACAGCAAGTACATGGCTAAAGGAAGAGAACCCTCCATGCAGCTCAGAAAAGGTGAGATAGCTTTGTGGACTGTGTACCAGAGCATGACAGACCCTCTGCTTATTGATACTGCCCACGTTTGCCACTGCAGTATGTTCTTGGGATGAAAATACTTTTGCCTTAGATGGCACATGCCATCTTCTATTGTTTGTTGGCCCTGGTTTTAGATATTGTAGAGCATTAGGTAATGTCATGGTGTCTGTATTTCTGTATTTAAAATGGAGTATTCTAATCATCTGGTAGCATATTATTCCGTGACCTTTACAATACTTTGGATATCCTCAGCCTGAATGAAGGTATTACTAACATTCTGTTATTACAAGGCAGTGTTGTTACTGAAGTCATGCTCTGTAGTGTCTTGGAGCCATGACATGACATGATCCAATATGGCAGTGTTCCGATCAAGTCCTTGGATGAGAATCTGATGTCTACTGCTGTTAAGAAGATTTT